AGTATCTGGGACAATTCACTGGCATAGAATGCCTCCTAACTCAAAAATGCCGGGGAAGCACAATATACTTGCCTAGATGAAGCTGTTATTTTCTTCCTCTTATGTTTCTAATGAACAAAGGTTTCCAAGCCTGGATTTTGTATATTTGAAATCATTTGTGATGTTTACCTTGCAGATGTAATAATAAACAGAACAGTCCCTATTTCAACACTATGATATCACATATTAACAACCTCTATGCAGTGGATTCCACAAATTATATTAGAAACCGTAGCCAGATAGGGTACATGCTTGCGTAATTCCTGTCTCTTTAGCAGACATTATTGTTTCTTTAAAGATTTTTCCTTTTGGTGTGAAATGCATGTTCAGAAACTATTTGGCATTCACTTGGCTATAGCTATCATCCAGCCATCCTCTATCAAAGCATTTAACTAAGAGAAGAGGGCCTCTCTGAACCTTAGTTTCCTCATCTATATACCAAGATTATGGAAATAGGTGACCTTGAATGTCTCTTCTAGCTGTAAATGTCTGCTGTATTAACTATTTTTAAATGTCTTTATTTGAATATTTAAGCCTTTAGAGGTTCCACTCTAAACTGAAAAGCCAGAGTAGCTCAGTAAGTTGGTTGAATGATTAAATTTCGTCCATATTATGTGTGCTGATCAACTCAGCTAACAATATATGGGTTATTTCAGTTATCATTCAGCCAGATATTTATCATTTGTGTAGCATCTTGTGCTGAAAGCTTTTTGTAGTAAAAATGAGTAATAGGTAAACTCTGCTTTTACTAATGGGGACTTAGTGTTTGATCTTTTAACAGTGAAGTTTTCAGCAAGAGCATCTGAAGAAAGGTTTTGATATTGATTGTGTACTTCAGACTGACGCAGGCCTGAACTGAAACCGGTTCCTTCCAGAGCTGTCTGCTCTTACGTCTTCTTTCCTAACTCTTTGCTCTGGTGTGTAAATATATTCTTGTATAGTTCTTCAGGGATCTACAAACTAGAGAAGCAAGGAAAGCCATACATCTTGATTTACAGCCATGTCGAATCCTATCTGTAAGGATAAAGTAAAAAGATAAATGTTTTTATTTGATAGATTCTAAAATCAGAAGTTTTTTAAACATTGATCAAAGACTGTGATGATGTTACTTACGTGTATTGAAAAGATACAGTTTTGGTGTATTTTGAAATTCTTAACTTCCAATCATAAATGTTTTTATCTAAACCTATTTGTGAGTTGCATGCTTGAAAAATTATTTTAGAAGCTCTTTCATCATATTTTACCACCCTTCTTTCAACATATTATGTTAGTTTTTATTTTTGCTGTGAGTGAAATCAGAATCTCTATAATGCAGAAATTTTTTGAAGATCCTCATTGAGTCATAAGTTGTTTGCCCACCTCAGACTCGTTGGTGGATTGTGCAGTTACCCTATTTAATTTTAATGGTCATTTAAAAAAAAGAANGTGAAATCAGAATCTCTATAATGCAGAAATTTTTTGAAGATCCTCATTGAGTCATAAGTTGTTTGCCCACCTCAGACTCGTTGGTGGATTGTGCAGTTACCCTATTTAATTTTAATGGTCATTTAAAGAAAAGGAAAACATCTATTATTCAGCATGGATTACATTTTATGTACTGTCATTTTTCATCTTGTCCTTCTAACTTTGTAAAATCCTCCCCAGCAAATATAAGTACCAATAAACCTTGGAAACCAAAACTGAGAATCAGGCGGCAAGTTAATACTTGTCTTCATAAAACATGAACATCATCTTGCTTTTTTACCAGTCTCATTTTAGTACTAGCTTTATGACTTTGAATACTAGTTTTTCAGTGATAAATGGAAAGTAGAAATTATGAGCTGCTCTCCCATTTTACTGGGGAAACTGAGAACCAGAAAAGTTAAGTGACTGGTCCAGGCCTCCCACTGAAGCCGTGGTAGAGCCAGTCCTAGCAGCGTCCACATGCTGGTCCCCGGTTCAGCACTCCCTCCATCATGACTGCCCATTTGAAGGAGCACTGAAGTACCATTTAGCGTATTTCCTGTGATCATTTGCTTTCCAGCACATTATCCAAGATGTGATAGCTAAAATTTAACTGTCCTTTAGAATGATTTGTGACAATTCTCCTTTACTCTTTTGACAATGTTAATTTTATAAGCTAGTTTGGAATTTTATTACATACTCGCCATGTTACCTAGAAAGATGTTCTCTTTGAGAATCTGATTCCTCCTCCAAGTAACCTTTCTTCATATCTCAGGAGATGGTAAATCAAACATTAAGAATTGGAACTGATTCAGGCTCACATATGATTTCATTGAAAGCATCAATAGTTTAATTAATGTTTTAATCCAAAACTGTTTTTGTAATTGTGCCCAAGATATAGACTCTGGAATACTTGACATAATTATTTGCAGGCAGTAGAAACCAGTGGAATCAGATGGAGCAATTTGCAAACACTAGAATAGCAATGGTTTCTCATTATAGTGCCCCCCTACTTATTAAATGAACATTTATTATTGAGCACCAGTTACTTTGCTGGATTATACACACGCACACACACAGAGAGAGAGAGAGAGAGAGAGAGAACCTGAGTAGAAGGTACCAAAACAGCAGTTGGGTAAAAGCCAAGACAAGAAAGAATTTCAGGCAATTAAGTAGGGAAAGTTCTTGAGGAAATACCATTATTTTTATTATCACTATAAAAACTGCAACTAACCTTTTAGAGTGGTTGCTGTGTATTAGGTATTTAAATATAATAATGCCTTCATTTCTTTTCATGATCTTTAAAATAGTAAGTGCTTTTGTTATCCCTGTTTTAAGATGAGGAAATTTAGGCACAGGGAGAGTAAGAAATTTGTCCAAGATTGCCCAATTTGAAGAAGGTTTTTAAAGCCTGAGCCCTTAACTCACAGGCCATATGATTATAATATCAAAGATGGTGTTTTAACTACATAGTTTGACTTTTATCTCATATAAGTTTCTTGAAAAGGAGTTAATAACAGTTTAAAAAGTTGGATTGAAAGTAGGAAGTCAAGAGATGGCTGGGCAGTGATTGGATCATCCCTTACAGCAGAAGAGAACTTGGAATTCTCTAGGGGAAGGCAGAGGAAGGGGAGGGACACTGTACCTTCTGGTCATTTTTTCCCCTCCCCTCCACGCACTGTTAGTTGTTGAAATAGGAAATTGTCCACTGTAAAGAGAGTTATAATAATTTGGGGGGGGCATGATATCGCTATTTTTTAGCTCTTTCTATATACTACAAAGGCCGGGACTCGAGGAATATTAGTTTATCTGAATTGTCAATCAGATTTTTACATTAAAGCACACTACTTTCTTAACTTTCATTACTAAGTGAGAGTGGGATTCCAAAAGAGTAGGGTTTCAGAAATAGCGTCAACGTTGGTATTACCGGTTTGTCTTCAGTGTGGGAGGCCAAATGCCTGGATTTCTCTGCGGGGAGACTCGGGTCTCGAGCAGGCCTTGCGGACTGGAACGCTGTCCTCAGGGGGAGCGACACATGACTGCCTTGACAAATGCTTTCCCATTGGCTAGGAGAGGACTTTGCTTCTGTTCTCCATGCTTTTCTGTGCTCTCCCAGCCTTTCTCACATCCCCCTTGTTTAAGGAAGAGGCAGAAGGAAAGCGTGTAGTTCCCAGCCCACCATGCTCAGGCATACATGTCACAAGGAGAAGGGACAAGGCACCTGCTGGCTGGCACCCCCAGAGCAGGGAAAGCTGTAGCCGCCCTTCCTTCAACGAATAAATTAACTCCATGCTTTTCTTTGGACCAGACTATGAATGGATGTCAACTAATTAATCTTTCTAAAGCATGATTTTACTCAAGTGAATTGGCTGCTCAAAAACTTAATGTTTTTCCATTTTAACAGAATATAATTCTTAGCCTTTCATTTGCGACCTTCCATGATTTAGGCCAATGCTGTCTGTGTATGCTTGGCCTTATTTGACAGTATTCCCCTTTTTAGTCAGGCCCCCACTTGCTCCCCCTGGGTTTAGACTGAAGCCTTCAGGGATGCCCCCTCCACTTCCCATCCGCACTCCCTCGAGCATTATCAGCCCCCAGTACACGCCGCATACAACCCTCTTCAAAGCACCATCTCCACCACACAGCCTTGCTGAGCTTCTCTGAACTCCTAGACAATTTTATCTCTGGCTCTCATCCTTTCTGTGTTTGAGATATTTATGTGCATATGTTATGTTCTTTACTAAGTTCTGGGTAGAATCTGTACCTAATTTAACTTTGTATCTTTCAAATCACCTGTACTTTACATCAGAGGAAGTTAAAACTGTGTAGGTATAAGAGGACGTATTGATTACTTGTAATAATATGTCTTTTTACAACTTTTTTCTTTTTTTGTGGGTGTTATTTTTTATTTATTTATTTATTGGGGTCACACTGGTTAATAAGATTATATAGGTTTCAAGGGATACATGACATGTATTTTGTGTGCCCACCACCCAAAGTCAAATCATTTTCTGTCACCACATATTTGGTCCCCTTTAATATTTACTGCTCCCTGTCCCCCTTCCCCCTACTTCCACCACGCCCTAAGAAACAAGTGAAGAGAGAATAGGACCAGATCTCCTGATTTTCAGTCCAAGACTCACCCACCAACCACAGTGGTTCTCCCCCTGGCTTGCACATTGGAATCGCCTGACATCAGATATTCTGATCTGAAAGCCCCAAGCCATAGAGATTGGAATCTCAGGGGTGCAACCAGACATCAGTAGTATTTAAAACCTCCATGTGATTCTAATCTGCAACCAAAATTGGAAGAAATGCCCCACTGCTCAATGGCCCTTGGACCATTCTTGCTTTCCTAGGTAATTCTGTTAATTTTGGAATTCTTTTAATTTGAGAAACTTTTAACTTTTTTCATATATAGAAAATTTTAAAGTAGAAAAATGCTAAATGTGAGATAATAGTATAGTATGTTTTGTTTTGCTTACAATAATAGCTTACTTGACTGTTTAACTTTTCAGATATTTCGAGAGAAAGCAGTGGAACTTGGGATAAAATTGCTCCCTGCATTTCTTACTCCCTCTGGAATACCTTGGGCATTGCTGAATTTAAAAAGGTAAAACTCTTCATTTTCTACAACAAATTTCAAGTTGAAATAGACACCGGATGGATAAGAACTTGTATGATGTTGGCCACTTACTCCATTGGAAGTCTTGGCATCTGCCCTTGTGTCGGAAGTTATTGATTTTTCAGTGTTCCATGGTCTTCGATGGGTCCCTGTCGAGGGATAGCATGACCCCGACAGAGTTATCCAAGCCAAATGTGCTGTGAGGTTTTCACTGTCATGGTGACACTGCATCAGTGAAACTGTCTCCATAGATTCCAAGAGCATCTCATTGTCTTTAAAATTGTCATGAAAATACTTCAGAGATAGAACACTTGGACTAATCAGAGCTCCCATGCAATGAGACTGGGAGCACCTGAGGCCGCCCCACCCACAGTGACAGGAGGGAGGGGAATTGCTCCACTGACCCAGATCAAACCAGCCTTCGCATCCCATTTGGGTGGAGAACCCTGGTGTGACACGTCCATGGGAATGTGGCCCAAGAAAAACCTGGGCTGAGAACTTTATGGCATTCTCCCAGGGAATAGCTTGAATTTTCATGATAGCTTGAGCATTTTGTAAATAAGCAATTTTATCTTAAGCTTTTTTTCCTTAACTTCTTCCCCCGTAAGTAATAACTTGCATTTGCGCCTCTTGTGATAATGATGATGGTGATGATGATAGCTATTTATAAAATCATAAAATATGGTGCTTTGTTATAGACACTTTACACATATTACCACATTTAATCCTTACAACACTCCAATAGTGTCAGTACTGATGTTATCTCCTTTTTAATAATAAGGATCTCGAGTCACAGGCAGATTATATTACTTGCCTGATATCATACCGTATACAAATGGTAGAACTAGAATCTGTACTTTGATGCTTATGCACACACACTGATGCACAGGCATAAATTAAACAGCTTTCTTGTTTTCTAAATGCCAAGAAGATGCACAGGATGGTTTGGCAGGATTAATACAGATTTCTTCTTCATCATTTATTTTAGTGACATTTTTTTCCTAAAATGAATTATGAAAAATCATCAGTTAAATGTCATGCATTATTTTCATTTGTATGTTATATATGAAATTATTCCTGTACCTGTCTGTAATCGTGAGAGGGGCGGGGAGTCAGGGGTAGTAGTGCTGAGGCAGTGAGGTGGGGAGAGTCCACACAACCGGTCCATGTTAATTGAGGTAGTTCTCTGGTGTATAATGTGACATCTCAGGATCTGTTTTCCCCTTTAAGGGACCTAAGGCTTTCTCTGTTATCTTGAAGACTGTAGCATATGCTGCTTTAGGGTCCTGAGGCAGTGGGTATGTGCTTGGCTTAGAGGCAGCAAGGCATTTGTTAGAGGTGTGTGTTTTTTTGACTCATGCAGACCACCTATATTACCTTCCAAGTTTTCAGACTTTGTATTTATAGACAGTATTCTGATCTAGAAACTATTGTATTACCTGAAATAAGACCTGATTATAAAAACACTGTACACATTTAACACATTTTTTCCCTACCTACACTCTGAGAAAAATTATAGAATAGCAGAAAAGTGCACAGAGCTAATTGGTTATCAAGACAACCATTGGTTATAAAATCTAGGTATTTTATAGGTACTGTAGGATTGTCTTCAGAGCAATCTTTTCAACTCTCCAGGCTTATTTGTAACCTGGAAGTTAGGCTACTTTAATTGTTCTTTTGTGAAAGTTTTCAGGTTCACAGGCCACTTTGGAATTCTGATGAAGCATAGCCCTCTCCTCAAAAATTGCATATTCCTGAGTACACATATTTTTACAGTTTCCCAAAGCAAACAGTGCCATAGGAGCTCGCCTATGACCTCAGGACCCCAGGCTTAAAATACTGGAGCGAAGGATCACTCCAATCATCTATCCTAAGATTCCATGGAACTAGTTCCTGTTGCTTCCTGGAAGGTAATGGAATTAGATCAAGGCCTGCTAAACCTAATAGAGAGACGTGTGGGCCTACATCTTTGCAAAATTCAGTCAATTCTTTTAAGGTGCTGATATCATTTAATTATTTCTAGCCTTTCTTAAAATAAGCATAAGAAATTGGATTCTTTTAAAGCATACTTAACTTTACTTAGTGTTTATTTCTAACAACCAAGAGGATTTTTTCTTAGTTAAATCTGTCCTTAGTGTACAGTGGAGACATTTTTTTGGTACCTAAAGGAATACTTATAAAAACTATCTAATACTGAATTGTCTATTATCTTTCATACATGTGCCTCTTGAAAATTCATTAAATGGGGCATTCAAGTTTTTCTTAACACCTTATTTTGCATTTACAGTATTTTACATAGATGTTTTTGTTTAATTTAGAAGATTATAGGAAACTTCTATATGGTGAAAAACAATGTGCCATTTCATTTATGTGTTCTCCGACATTTTCAGGTTAAACTAGAGGCAATTAGATGACTATTTGACAGCTGATAGGAAAACTTTTAATTTCTTCCTGGCATCCTGTATGAATTTTTTTATTATATATTTCATCCATTCTCCATTCCATTTACTAAATAACAGTGACTTGCCCAAATTTTCACAATAAGCCTTGGCAAAATTAATAGTAATATCATTCTACTAAAATTCTTATCTCTTTGCCCAATCAAGTCTACTCATCGAATCCCCTTCCAACTGGGAAGCTGATTAGGAAGAAAGCAACATTTTATATTTATCTGCAATAATTACATTTCAGGATACACTATTGATGTCAATCTGGATATATATGCTGTTTTATCTGAATCTTTGTGTTTTTACAGTTTGGGCCAGGGGATAAGGGACAGATGCTATGGAGCTTCTTTGCTAGTTTTTTGAAGGCTGTCACCAGTAGAAGTTTCAAAGAAGAGAGGAGAAAAATATGTCTGGCACAATCATATTTTCTTAATTACCCTCTCAGAATAAGGGAGTGTCTGTAGAAGGATGCCCAAGAGGAAAAAAAGTGCTTGAGGATGCTTTTTAGAATAGCTGTGTTCATTGTTGACTGGCTTTGAAACTCTTGGCAATAATTGTGATGGGAGAGGCACAGAATATGCCATCTATAATTCTGGTCTTCCGTCTCAGATCTGAAAATAGTTTTGGATGCTGCTCTTTGCCAACAACTATCTGTTAACAAATATGTGAACTTATTGGTATTATTTGTTCACATCTCTCTAGCATTCAGGTTATTACCTAAAGATAATTGGTTTCTTTACCTTTTCTTTGTAAAATAAATAAATAAGCATTTATTTGAGCCCCTGCCTTGATGAAGGTTCTGTGCTAGGTCCTGGGAAGATTGTCCTCTTCTCTTCACTTCATTAAAAAATAAAACAGACGTGGTCTTTCCCTCTGGGTATTTACAGCATAGTTGGTAAAGCACAATATATATATTTTATGTTATATTATACACTCATTCATGTAACTGACAAATGTAAGATAGTCTGTGCCAAGGAGAGAGAATAAAGTCTCACTGAATTGAGTTTAAAGCAAGCAGTATTTTGAATTGGGGACATTTATGCATTTGGAGCCAAAACACCAATAAACCAAATTGGATTTCAGTATTTGTGCAAACTGAGAATAGCAGAGAACCTAAATAATTAATTCATATTCTACATTAGGAACTCTGTCCCAAAATCTGTTCAGAAAAAGAAAGTATTTTATAATGATCTCTTCTGCAACACCTGTAACAAGTTCAAGAGCTGCTGTATGTAGTTGCAGAGTCGTCAGAACTGTGATGTAGTGGCCGGTGGTGACTGGACTGAACAAGCGTGGAGGTGGCAGGAACCGCGCCAGACTGGGCGCGCAGGCTCGCTTCCCCAGCACGGCAGGACCGTGAGAATGCGGGACTTAAATAACACCCCCTGGAGGAAAACCATTACCTTTTTAACAGATTAGATTTGGGAGAACCCAATTTCTCTCATGTAAAAATGTCAAAATGTGATGCCTGATCTCGTTATTACGATTAGCAAGAGGCCATGTGCCTTTTTCCTTCCAGCCTAAAGAAGAAAAATCACCTCTGTGATTTATAAATTCCAGTATTTCACCATTTCCATATAAGTGAGCATAATTCAAGCCCAGGTAGAGTAAGCTTATTAGATTTTAAGTTTTCTAAAGTGTGTTCTTAATTTTAAATAATATAGGCACTCTTCCCATTTTTCATTTCTATCACTGGGCATACCTTCCAGGCGTGCCTAATAATTATTCTGTCTTTCTTGATAAATGAGTTAGTTTTAGCTGTGTACTATTTTATCACTTGTTTGTCTTTGTGGATTTCTCTGAACTGACACTTTGCTGGTGGTTATATTAGGTTAGCGGAACTGTCTACAGCATGTGCTTTTAGTGCACTCGTCAAGGAATGTTCCAGAAATGACTGATCTGCATTCTCGCTCTTGTTAGTCAGCAAGGTGATGAATGTGGTACAACTCTCTCACCTGCTTTTATTTCCTGCTGTGTGAAGTTTTATTCACTAATTACCCAATGCAAATGCACACTACATCATTAGTTACATTTACATTGCAGTTTGTATTATTATAATTTAATTTCAAATTGCTTTACTTTAACTGAAATGGGGCCTTAATTAAGAATAGTACATAATGTTTTCTAATAGTGAAAGATTGTCTTTTGTGAGGCATGTAGTGTACATATTGTAACAAAAGGCACTAGGCCCCTTATTTGGTTTCTTAGTACGTCCGTGTTGTAAAATGCTTAAATATTAAATTATAGTTGGTTAGTTTTAATAGACACAAACTCTGAAAGACGGTTTAATTAGGTTATATATTTTAAAAATATTTTTCATATATCTCCTTGTATATTTACTTGACAGTTGAAATATAAATTTCTGGATCATTAAACTTGCTAAGCATTTTTTAAAGTAGCTGATTTCAGATTTGAAAAAGTGTATTATGTTTTAGCATTACAGAATACAGTTCTGTACCTTAACATCATAAAAATAAATGTAAAAAATATCAAGAAGCAAATTTCCTGAACATGAGCTGATCAGAGTTATTTCATGATTTA